GCCGGAGCGAGGGGCTCAGCCAGCTTCCGGCAGGGCTGTGAGAGGTCTGCGGGGAGCAGTGATGGGGGTACTGGCCGGGGCTGGGGACAGAGGTCTCCACACTCAGAGGGTCTCGGGGTGCCCTGCATAAGCCGGGTAATGAAGGGGCATCTAGACACTGGGGTGCACCACGAGCCCTCTAGGTGGGGCGCGGTGGGCAGGAGGCTCTGGGGGGCCGACTCTCCCTGACGGTGGCTGGCTCTGGGTCTGGGTCTGGGGGGGCCGGGGAACCCCGGGAACAGCAGGGGCGGCGTGCCCTTCGCCGTGCTCCTTGTGGAGTCTGGCGTGGCCAGGAGAAGCTCGGGGAGCGTTGGGGCACGGGCTTTGGGTGCCTCTGTGACTCACTGGCTCTGGCACCTCCTGAGGCTCCAGCTCCCCTGGGAGCCGGTGTCCTTGCTGGAATGGGGACGCAGGAGAAGACCCCCTGTGAGAGGAACAAAGAGCAGCCATCTCCCAAGAGGACGCAACTTGAGAAGAGTACAGGGGACGTGGAGGAGAAAGTTCTCAGTGACTGTCAGGCCGGGCGGGGGGGCGGGGGCTGGAACTTCCAACCCGGGCTCCCTGGGCTGTTTTGGAGGAGCAGGCTGTCACCCCAAGTGGAAAGGAAGGAGGGAACAGAAGCAGAGAGGCTGAGTGCTGCCCCGGCCTGCCCCAGCACGGCGGTGCCTGAGGCGGAGTCTGAGCATCTCCAACTGCAGAAGCATGCGAGGGGCGGTCGCAGGCCCCGTAAGAGCAGGACCCTTGCGGCTGCCGCCTCTGCCTCAGGACCTCTGCGCTTGCCGTTCCCTCTGCCTTGGTTCTCCTTCCCCCAGGTCTAGGTGAGTCTGGTTCCTGCTTATTAACTCACCTCTCCTGGGAGGAGATGTGTCCTCTCCAGACAGACCTTCCTTTTTACCCGCGTTGAAGGTGTCCGTGCCAACCATCACCAGCGTGTGTATCACTGTCTGAAGCCCTCTTAGCTATTTACTGGCTTCTTCTCCAGGCCCTGCCCCCTTGGGGCCAGCGAGACCAGGGCTGGGGCGCCGGGCTCTCCGGGGCGCCGGGCTGCGCTCCGGGCGGCCTCTGCGCGAGGGGGCTGTGGGCTTTGTGGACCAGGTGTGATGCTGTGGGAGACACGCCCCCACCCCGCCCCCCGCAGGCCCGGAGGATGCGTGCTGTCGCCGGTGGCTGGTGCCGCATCTCCATAAATATTAAATGGGCATTAAAAGCAGGCTCTGCGCTCCGTGTTCTCATTGTGAACTCCTCAGTGTGAAACGCAGCGCTTCACCACGGAGCTGGTGTCTCGGGCACTCTGCTCACCGCCTCTCTCCCTGCCTGGCCCCCCAGTGTGCAGCCTGGCTTCCCATTGGCTGCACCGGAAACCTTGGGGCAGGGGTGGGCGGGGCTGGCCAGCCTGTGGGAGGGGAGACTGCTCTCTCACCCCTCCTTCCCCCCTCCCCCCTCCCGCTCTACCAGGGTGGTCAGCCCCCTTGCTGAGGCCAAGAGGGCAATCTAGGCTCCACAGGATGAGCAGCCTGGACCCTCACCCTCTTCTGGGCCTGCAAGGGGATGGTAGGGAAGAAGTCTGGCTAGACACTTACTGTCTGTCTACCATCCATCCATCCTTCACTCATTCATCCATCCATCAACCATCAACCATCAATCAGTCCATCCATCATCCATCCATCTATCCATCAATTAATCCATTCATCCATCCATCATCAATCCATCTATCCATCATCCATTTGTCCATCCATCTATCCATCATCCATCCATCCGTCATCCATCAGTCCATCCATCAATCCACCATCTATCCTTCATTCATCCATCTATCCATCAATTAACCCATTCATCCATCCATCATCCGTCAATCAATCCATCTATCCACTATCTACTCATCCATCAGTCCATCATCCATTACCCCACCCATCCATATACACAATTTTCTCTCTCTCTTTCTTCCCTTCCTTCCTTTCTTCCTTCTCTCTCTCTTTCTTTCTTTCTTTCTTTCTTTCTGTCATGGGGCTTGAACTCTGGGCCTGGCCACTGTCCCTCAGCTCTTCAGCTCAAGGCTAGCGCTCTACCACCTGAGCCACAAAAGCACTTCTGATTTTCTGGTGGTTTATTGGAGATCAGAGTCTCACAGACTTTCCTGCCTGGGCTGGCTTTGAACCGTGATCCTTAGACCTCAGCCTCCTGAGTAGCTGGAATTACAGGCGTGAGCCACTGGCTCCTGGCTCATCCACTCATCTTTCTGTCCATACTTTCCCCATCTATCCACCCACTCATGACCCCTCCCTCATCCCTTCCTCTTTTCCATGCATGCGCAATTTAACATTGATCGGTGTTTGGTGGGTGCTGGGGTGATACGGACGAGAGCGCTAACACTAATGGAGCAGTAGCACCAGCTGGGAGCCGGACGAGCAGTCCGCACATCACCCTCTCACTGTCAGGAGGCGACGAGGAACCCCAGCCTCTGGTTCCTTAAGCTTAGGCCGACAGGGCGGTGACCTCACAGGGATGAGCGGCCGCAGGCCCTGCCCCCAGCGGCTCCTCACCCATCTCCCAACAGGGCCAAGGTCAAGCCCTCGTCCTTGCTGAGAGGCATGGAGTGAGAGGTGGTGGCCAGTTGGAGGGAGGCCAGAGGGGTCCGGGAGGAAGATGCGGGGCCCTGGGAGCCGGGCGGCCTGCCTCTGAACCTGAATGGCTCCCTGTGCGGGCGGGAGATGGGGCTTCTCATCTGTCAAACAGGAGCTAGAGGAATGCCTGCCTCCCTGGTGGTGAGCATGAAAGAGACCCCCTCCCCGTGAAGTACTGGAATCCGGCAGGAGGACTGGATGGCATCTTCTGGCTGAGGGCTTGGGGCACAAGATCTCAGGGGGCGATGGGCCCAGCCACCCGTGTGGGCAGGCCAGACCGTGTGGGCAGGCCAGACCATGCGCCCGGCCGGATGTTGGGGTGGACAGGGCCAGCAGGCAGGCGTGACGTGCGCAGCGTGCATTTGAACGGCCCGTCCCTGGCCCTGCCCGCCCCCGTGTCCAGCCGGGTGTCCAGCTCCCAGGCCGCACTGGCTGGCATTGGACCCAGGCTGGACCCACTTAGCAGCGGAGTGCCGGCCAGACCCTCGGAGTCCGCCAGGCCTTCCCGGGCTCCCTCAGCCCCACGTCTGCCTCGGGAGGGGGGTGTGACCTCCTCCCCTCAAATCTCGTACCGAAGAGCCAGCCGAGGCTTGTGAGGGGATGACGTCATGCAGCACAGTGTCGGGGTGCTAGGGTCCCCCGATTTTCCCATCCAAGGGCAGGGGAGCCTTGGGCTTGGTGTCTAGTGACCTGTGGCCTCCTTGGGCTCCTCAGGGTCTGGTGGCAGTTGTAGGTGGCACAGGCTGACTGTGAGTCTTGGGGGCTGGAGTGGGAGGGGGTCCACACCCCGAGGCTGTCACTCAGTTAGCAGTGACCAAGAAGGAAAGAAGGCCTCCCTCTCTCTCTCTCTCTCTCTTCTTTCCAATTGAAGGAAGATGTGTATTGAAAATTAGGGTGCAGTTTTTGTTGGGGGGTAGCCAGTGTGCATGTGTGCTATTTTATCTTACCTTGTATGGAGATGATTTTAAAAAATTAATAACCCATTTCTTTAGCGCATAATTAAATGTTCTCTAATTTTTGTCATTTTCCTAATCTAATTTGTTTTCGTTGTCGATTCTTCTTTCGAGCGCATAAGCTAGGATGTTTTGTTGTTGTTGTTTTTTGATTAGGACACAACTGTCCAGGAAGATGTTAAATTACATTATTTTCTCCTTGGCTAAAGACAGTGCAATTGGAACCATCGGAGGCTTTTTGTAGCCCCAAACAAAGATCAAGTATTACCCACTTGTATGGCTTAAAAAATTTAATTATAAAAAAGAAAGGAAAATTGACAGTGTTTAAAAGCAGGCATTGGCTGTATCTCTGAGTGTGTGGGTTGGTTGGGTAGGCTCTGGTTGTGTGTGTGTGTGTGTGTGTGTGTGTGTGTGTTGCTGAATTTCTAAGTTCCTACAAAGCTGGGTTGGAATCCTCGAGAAGGGCATTTTGGTCCAGGAAATTTAAATACAAACTACACTTTTAAGTGAAAATAAAAAAAGAAATGACAGGGTTCACCAGCTGGGATTAGGGTGAATTCAAGGGTGCACGGGATGGGGACTGTGGGACTCAGATGGGGGGGGTAGGGGTGGGGGAGGAGGTGTCCTTCTCTCCCCCCCCCCCCCGCCCCTGCCCCTCCTCCTTACTCCCTCCTGTCTCCCCCCTTCCCCTGCTGAGCTGAGGGGTGCAAGCCTCCACTCTGGGAAAATCCCATTTCTGGGTGTCGCTGAGAGCTACCTGGAGGCTAAACTGGTAGAGAAGAAGGAATTTTCTCCCTGCCTGCCCAGGCTTGCTGGGGTATGGGTGGGGGCCTGTGTGGGTATCTGGGGGTTTGCATGAAGGGAGTGGGGTTGGGGGAGGGAGGCCTGCTGCCCCCCAATTCTGAACAGTAGAACTTAACTTCCCTGTTTACAAAATATCAGCGAGCTGTCGCCCCGTGAGCCTAGAGGACTTGGTGGAAAGCTCCAGAAACGTCTCAAGTGTTTGAACATGTCGGCCCAGGCGCGCACGTGTCCGCGGCTCTGCGGGCTGAGTGTGTGTTTTCTCCTCGTCCCCTCCCCTCCCTTTTCTTTTTACCAAAGTATATTCATCAAACTGCTGAGTCGGAAAGATTTGTAATGAGTTTTTGAGCTGTACGACTGTGCGTGAGTGCGCGTGTGTGTGCGTGCCTGTGTGTTCCTCTCCCCTCCCTCTTCCTAAATCTTCATCTGACATTAAATAAAGCAAATCACAAACAGATTAACTGTCGCACGTTCTGCTCCGTCTCCCCAGCGCGCTGGCAGGTCTGGCGGGGGCCGGGGCCGCGGTGCCCGCTGCAGCGACGGCGGCGGAGGCAGGAGATGCCCAGGCGGCCGGCGGCAGCGCAGGCCCATGTGGCGCTCTAGGTGGGGCGCCGGCGTCCTGAAGGCCGAGGCGCTGGCCCTGCTCCCGTGCGGCCTGGGCATGGCGTTCTCGCAGTCCCATGCGCTGGCCGCCCGGCGGCCCCTGCACAACCGGCTCATCATCGAGGTGGACGAGTACAGCTCCAACCCCACGCAGGCCTTCACCTTCTACAACATCAACCAGGGCCGCTTCCAGCCGCCGCACGTGCAGATGTAAGTGGGGGCCGGGGTCCCCGGGCTGGGGCTGGGATGGCTCCGTGGGTGGCTCGTGGACGGAGCACACTGCTCTGACTGGCACGGAAGTTGCCGGTGGTCGGCCCCAGGACCCCCGCTGGCCCCTTACCCTATTTGATTTGACTTGGAGAAAGTTTCCCAAATATTGGGAAATGACGTTGGCCACCAGGGGCTCATGCTTGTGGCCCTAACTACAGAGGAAGCCGAGGTCTGAGAATTGTAGTTCAAAGCTAGCCCAGGCGGGAAAGTCTGAGAGACTCTGTCCTCAATTAACTAGCAAAAAGCAGGACTGGAGGCATGGTTCAGGTTGTAGAGCACCAGCTATGAATAAGAAAGCTGAGTAATGGGCTGAGAATGTGGTTTGGTGGTAGGGTGCTTGCCTAGCATGCATGAAGCTCTGGGGATTCCTCAGTAGCACATACACAGAAAAAGCCGGAAGTGGCACTGTGGCCAGCTTTGAGCAAAAGAAGCTCAGAGATGGTGTCCAGGTCCTGAGTTCAAGTCCTAGGAGAGGCAAAAGAAAGAAAGCAAGCAAGCAAGCTGAGGATACGGCAAGAACCTGAGTTCAAGCCCCAGGACTGGCACCAGAAAGAGGGAAAAAAGAGGTGATTCACAGAGAAAGCCAGCCCCTGGCTTTTTTGCTTGATTGGGTCAGAGGTTCTGGCAGCCTGGAGCCCATGTCCTCAGACGGGTCCATGGGGACTGAGTTCCAGCAGTGGCCTGTGCTCTCATTTGTGTGGATGGGGACACTGAGTCCCAGAGAAGGGAGGGGATGACCACCACGGCAGGCCACAACCTTCGCTGGGGCTCAGCCGCTTCTCTCCACCCCTCCGTGCCCTCCTGTGCCCTCCCGTGGGCAGTGGAGATGATTACTCGCAGGTCTAGAAGGCCCTGCCCCCCACGGGGTCTCTGATGGAAGGCCCCTGGGGTGCCCAGGGGAGCCCGCAGCCCACATGGGTGAGGTGACCACCAGCGGCCTGCGTGCGGGCTGCCCTGCGGCTCAGGCTGCCGGCCTGCGGCATCCGCGCTTGGCCTCCCAGGGTCCTTGGCTGGGGAGTTCACAGCGGGCCCGCCTCCATGCATGCTCTGTGTGTGCGGCCTCTGGGCCAGCCCCTGTGCGGGGTCTGGGGTCTGAGCCCATACAGAGGTGGGGATGGGGAGGCCCTGGGGCGGGTGCAGGGGGCCGAGCCCAGACACTGGGCTCTGTGGAAGCCATCCTGGACCCCCGCTCTGTCAGATGACCCGTGGGGTACAGCCATGGTCCCTTGGGAAGACCCTGTCATCATGACGATCACTTAGAGAAGGTGTCACGGGGATCGTCCCCGAATTCTGGCTCACATGGTAGTGTGGGGGCTGCTCTACCCCCAGCCCTGGGCCGTTGGGGAAGAGTGCAGGCAGAGTGTTCACCAGGGGAAGGGCCTGGAAGGGGGTGGGCCGGCCCTGGGAAAGCATCCTCCCTGCCGAGCCTGGCTCGTGCGTCCATCTGTCCATCCATCCATATATCCATCCATCCATTCATCCACTCATTTATCCATCCATCCATCCATCCACTCATTTATCCATCCATCTATCTACTCATTTATCCATCCATCATTCATTCATCCATCCATTCATTTAAATCCATCTATCCATCCATCCTTTTACTCATCCATCCATCCACTCATTTATCCATCCATCCATCCCTCGACTCATTTATCCATCCATCCATCCATCCATCCATCCATCCATCCATCCATCCATCCATCCATCCACTCATTTATCCATCAATCCATCCATCCTTTCACCCACCCACCCATTTATCCACTCAGGATCTCTGGGAGCAGCCAGGTAGTATATTGGCTAGGAACTCAGGCCCTGGACTGTCTCAAGGGTAGGGTGCCTCAGTTTCCCCCATCGGGGGAAGGCTGGACCAGGCGGAGGGCAGGTACTCAGAGTACGTGGTGGACCAGGGCTCCGAGCTTGATGCAGGGCGGTGAGCACAGGGAAGCCCCTGCCTCTGCTCAGCGCAAATGTGGGGCCCCTGCGCGCGCCCAGCACGCACTCCAGGTGGGTATAGACAGAAAATGTGCCAACAAGGCGTGGCCTTCATCGCATGTGACGCTGGTAGCCGAGGTGTGGTGGGGACAGAACGTAGTGGCTTTCTTGTGGCCCAGCTGGTTCCCCTCTGGTGGAGACCACTCCCCACTGGTGCCTTCCAGACAGAGACGGTCCCAACTACCATAGAAAATGGGGCTCAGGGCCCATTCGGGACCAGACAGAGCTCGCTTTGAAATACAAATGTTGTGCCAAACTGCATGAAGCAAGAGTGGGCTCAGGGGCGGGGCTACCGCCTTCCCCTTCGTGCAGACTCCTGCCTTGAGCCCTGAGAGGCCAGCTGGTGAGGGGCTGAGACATTGCACCTGGTGCGTTTTATCGCTGCTCTGGGCTTTGTCTCTGAGGTGAGGGAGCCAGGGGCCTTGTTGGATAAATCCACAATTTATGTTTAATAACAACAGTGACAGTGCGAATGTGGCCCCCGATGGAGCCGAGTGATTCATGCAACTGCCCCAGAGACCGTACAGGTAGCCAGGCTGCCGGTGCTGAGCCATGAATCTTGGTAACCGGGCCTCTGGGTGTGGGTCTCTCCGCTGGGACGCGGGGTGGGGAGGGGCAGGCAAGGCCCTCCAGGCCCCAGGCCCTGGCCCTGGGTGGGCAAGCCTCACCCTGTGGTCACTGAGAAGATGTGCAGGTGTGTTCCCGGTCAGGTTCCCCTGCAGGTGGCCACGGGGGGCCTCGGGACATGACGCACAGCCTCTCTCCTCTCTCCGCCTTGCAGCAGGGACCTTGGTGGAGACATAAGTTGTCCCTTTAAAGACCCCCCTCCCCGCCCTGTGCCCCTGGCCTGTGCTGGGTCCTAGGGAATGTAGTGAGAAGTCCGGTGCCAGCGGCTCATGCCTGTCATCAGGCTGTCTGGAGGCTTGCAGTTCAAAGCCAGCCCAGACAGAAAAGTTCACTAGATTCTATCTCCAATTTACCAGCCCAAACCAAAAATGGCTCAGACTTGGGTGCTGGAGGCTCCTATCTGTCATCCCAGCTTCTTGGGAGATGGAGTTCTGAGGACTGAAGTTCAAAGCCAGCCAGGGCAGGAGTCTCATGGGGACTATGAGACTCTTACCTCCAGCTGACCAGCAAAAAGATGGAAGTGGAGCTGTGGTTCAAGTGGTAGAGCACTAGCCCTGAGACACAATATCAACAACAGAAACAACACAAGGACAGTGCCCAGGCCTTGCATTCAAGCCCCAGGATAGGCAAAAAAAAAAAAAAATGCCTGAAGGGAATGGCTTAAGTGGTAGAGTGCCAGCTGAGCAAGTAAGCCAATCAAGAGCGTGAGGTTCTGAGTTCAAGTCCTGGAACTGGCAACACAAACCCAGAGAGAAGGACGGGCGAGCTAGGCTAGGAAGAAGCTTGCTGTCCCTCATTCCCGGCCCCTGGTCTCTTACCAGGAGGAACCAGAGGCTTCAGAAGGAGAGAACGTAGAGTTGGGGACACACTCAGCACCAGGGGCAGGGCTCTGTGTGGCGGCAGAGGGCAGAGCAGAAGCTACTGGCTGTGCCCAACATCTCCCTCTCCCCAATCCCTGCTTCCTCTGCTTCTCCAACACCGTGCCCGCCTGTTCTTCAGACCTCGCTCTGGGGTCCCCTCCTCAGGGCAGCCTTCGGAGGCCAGGCCACCAGTCCCCGGCCCGGCCCGGGGCAGGTGTGCAGTCTGGGCTCCTGCCTTCCTCTGGGACGATTTCTCAGGCACCTGTTCTTCAGAAGCTGGGATTGGATATCTCGTGCCCAGCACAGTGCTGAGGAAGAAAGGCGGCAGACAGGCCAGGGACAGGCAGAGAGAGGGGCCGGGAAGGGGTCATGGCGGTCCAGACGCACTCCAGTTAAGCGGAGCTGGCCGTGGAGGCTGGGCCCTGAGAATGGCTGGGCGAGGCTCAGCCGGGGTCTTCCGGGGTCTTGGTTCCCGCTGCTGCCTCTGTGCTCTGCTGGGGGTGGAGGGAGAGCTGGTGGCAGGTTTCGGGGCTCTGAGCTACCTCAGCAGGCAGAGGCCTCGAGCAAGTTAGAGTTGGCTTCAAGATAGAGGGGGAAACCCAGCCCACATTTGTTTCCTTGCCTTATGTCTGGTCCCTGTAGAATGTCATCCGTTTGCTTTTTACATTTCGTTTCTTCTTCTTGTCATAAGATGTGGAAGTTAGATACCCAAATTCTTGTTGTTCAGATTCCATCCTTTAGGATCTTGGGCACAAATGGGACTCGGGTCTTAGCTGGGATTTTGTCGCTGCAGGTGTCAGGAGTCCCACTTCAACTGAACAGCAGTGTGTCACTGGCTTATGTAATTAGCGAGCGTGCTAGCTTCAGGCACGGCTGGATCCAGGAGCCCACTGACGGCCTTCCTTTCCCTGGTTCTGTTCAGCTGTCTTTCTTCCTTTATAACCTCAGGTGGGTTTCTGGAGCTCCTTGGGTGGGCGTCCTCTCTGCAGGCAGCGCCCCTCACGCCCACCGGGTGCCTGGTATTCCGGAGCCCTTCTAGAAGCATCTGACCACGGAACCATGGGAGGAAACCAGGTCAGATCCAGAAAAGAAGCTTCTGATGTTAGCCCCGCCAGCCGCCGGGGTGGAGTTTGTGCGCCAGTCAGCCCTTCCTGGCCTGTGTCCTCGCCAGTACCAGAGCTTGCTGCTTCTGTGGCTGCTGGGAGGGCTGGGTGTGAATGCGTGCGCTGTGAGCGCGCGGTGTGTGCAGTTGTGGAAATCGGTGCCATTATGCTGCCAGTTGTGTTCCTCACGGGACAGCGGGAGGACGGTGCGGGAGGGGACGGTGCGGGAAGGAGCCTCTGTGCTTCTCTCCAGGGATTGCAGAGTTTGCATCCTCACCGAGTGCGGGAGCCTGGGGGCCAGGTAGTCAGAGAACTCTCCCTCCAACAGCAGGCTCCACCCTGGCTGCCTGTGGTTGGAGGTGGGGCTCCACTAGTGCATTCTTTGGGCCTCCTGCTGGGAGCTTCTAGAAGGATCCACACCAGGTCAGGGACTCCTCCGGCCACCAGCCCTTGTGTGGACTATGATCACAGTGTGACCCTGTGTGTTGTCTGCCATCAATGGACGGGTTCCTGGCGGGTGGTGACCAGGCCTGGCCCATCCCTGTGTCCCCTCCCTGCACCCCCAGCTCAGGGCTGGGTGCAGGGGTGTCAGGGTGGGCTGTACCGGGCAACTGAGGAGAGGGGCACAGCCCGGAGCCTTCCCAGGCGTCTCTTCTCCAGTTGGGCTGCTGGGAGTCTGTCTTGTCTTATCAGCCCCCCACAAGGGGGTCACGGACAGCCCCCCTCCCCATGGTGACATCGGTACCCTGAGCCCGCACACTAGCGCCCGGAGCACCTCTGCCATGAGGTGGTAATTAAATTTCCTCCGAGTATCTTGTCTGGAAAAAAAAAAGGATAATTAGAAAGATGTCTTTAAAAGTATTTATGTAAGTGGTATGGTGCCGCTTTTGGTTTGCCGCATAATTAGATGTAAGCGCAGCTCTGGAGCGAGGGGCTGCCGTGGAGGTGTCACTGGGCTGGTTCCGGGCCCAGTCACTGAGCCGTGTGGCGGGGAGGAGCAGGGCGCATGGGATCCGGCCCTGCTCTGCCTCCACCAGCCACTGAGCCTCCTGGGAGGAACAGCTGATGTATGCCAACGTGTGCTTGTAGGTAGCCGGGCACTGGTGGCTCACGCCTGTCATCCTAGCTACTCAGGAGGCTGAGATCTGAGGATCACAGTTCAAAGCCAGCAGGAGAGTCCATGAGACTCTTATCTCCAATGAACCACCAGAAAACAGGAAGTGGCGCTGTGGCTCACGTGGTAGAGCGCTTGCCTTGATCTGAAGAGCTGCGGGACAGCGCCCAGGCCCAGAGTTCAAGCCACACAACCAACCAAAAAACAAGTAAAAAGCATCCAGAGTGGTCTAGCCTGGGAAGAAAGCTCCATTCTGCAGACATGCAGACTGGGACACGTGTTCAGTTTAGAAGTCACCCCAGGGTGCCCGCAGTGGAGCTGGGGTCCCGCTCACCCCTGGCTTCCACTGGGGCCTCAGCTCCGAAACATTGCTGCCTCTCCCTGAGTTCCGTCATTCTTCCATGGCCTTCTCTTACCAAGCCCGAGTCGGGCACAGCGCCCTCCACAGAGGACACCTGGCCTTTGGAGTCCCATTTTATAGACAGACAGACCGGCTGGAGAACCTGGACAGACAGGCAGTGTCTGCTGGGCTAGGTTAGAGCTGCGTGGAGTGAGGGAGGCAAGCGGGGAGGGGGCTGTGACAACACAGTGCCCTGTACCCACTCCATGCTCTCTGCACTCCCCGTGCCACAGAGGGGAAACTGAGGCTCGGGCACAAGTGCCCTGCCTGGCTAGTGGCTTAGAGTCCAGATCAGGCCCCAGGGAAGGTGTTGGGTCTGACCTGCGCACAGCTCTGGGCCTGTGAGCTGCCACATGGGCCTGCCCCCCCCCCCCCCCCCCGCCAACTCCCTCCCTCCATCATGGGCCTCCTCCCAGGGCCCCTCTCCCGCGCGGGCCCCGCCCCGGACCCCCTTCCCCACCAGCTCTGCAGCTCTGTGACTGGACTCTGCTCCCCGCAGGGTGGACCCTGTGCCTCACGACGCCCCCAAGCCGCCGGGCTACACGCGCTTCGTGTGCGTCTCGGACACGCACTCGAGGACGGACCCCGTCCAGATGCCCTACGGCGACGTGCTCATCCACGCCGGGGACTTCACGGAGCTGGGGCTTCCGAGCGAGGTGAAGAAGTTCAACGAGTGGCTGGGTAGGTGTCCAGGGGGTGAGGGAGGGGGAGGGGGAGCACGGGGGGGGGAGGGGACTCATGAAGCTGCCCCCTGCCCGCGCTGCCTAGAACCCCTCCAGGCCTCGCAGGTCCAGCTGCCTGTGACCCCGCCTCACCCCCTCCCCCATCCTCCCACTTCCCCTCCATGACTGCTGTTAGCGTGTGGGTTTGGCTTTGGTCCTGGGGCGCTCAGAAGGGCTCAGTGTACCTTCCTTCTGGCCATTGTGCTCTACTGTGGAATACCCTAGGGGTAGTGCTCAGTTAACACTTGAGGAATGCATGAAGGAGCTACTTTCTAGAAGGTTCTTAGCTAGGCACTGGTGGCTCACCTGTCATCCTAGCTCCTCAGGAGGCTGAGATCTGAGGATCGCAGTTTGAAGCCAGCAGGGGCAGGAACGTCTGTGAGACTCTTATCTCCAATGAGCCATCCCAAAACAGGAAGCGGAGCTGTGGCTCGTGCAGGAGAGCACTGGCCTTGAGGACAAAACGCTCAGGGTCAGCACTTAGGCCCCGAGTTCAAGTCCCAGAACCAACCAGTACACACAGAATAAAGAAGGTACTCGAAGCAGGTACTCGGCTAACATGTGTTCTTAGGAGCCTACCCAGCCTGAGAGGAGCCCCCTTGGCCTCAGGGACCCCTGCTGGGACTCAGGGTGCTGGACCTGGGCCGGCAAGGTGGCTGTGGGTGGCTGGGTGGGTGTGAGAATTTCTATATAAGCCTGTGCAGGCTTTCATGCTTGGCTTTGTACTTTTATCCCTCCCCCACCCCCCCTCCCCATGTAAGACAGACAGAGATGAGGCTGGCTTGGGAATCTGGAAGGAGCTATGTGGAGAGGCATCTCTGCCCGGCCTGGGGGACAGATGGATGCCCGGGCAGCCTGGTGGACCCACGTCCTATGCAGCCCCCTGTGGCAGCCAGACGGCTCCTTCTGCCTCCCTGTGGGTGGCTGGGAGGCAGGAAGCAGGAGGCCCAGCGCAGCCAGTGGAGTCAAATACTGACCAGCAAGGCTTCCCACCCCCCTACCCAGGCAGGCTTGGCGTTTTACGTATTGATTTTTCATATGGGAAATTAAGCCCAACGCCCGGCTCAGATGCTTGGTGCTTCCCAGATGGTCACACCTCGCCCTGCCTTCAGCTGTCCCCCCCCCCCCCCCCGAACTCCTAGACTAGGCTCCTTATCCCACCTTCTGTGGCTCGGTCACCGTGGCCCGCCTGTGTGTAGAACTGGTGTAGCAGGCTCTTCACCCTTCGCCCCGTGGGTGTGGGCACAGCTGTGTGGGGGTGACCCTGTCTGCTCAGAACCCCACTGGACAGGGGGACAGGGCTGTTCTCAGCGTATCTGGCCCGAGTGCCTCCATCAAAGTGGAATGGGCTGGGTGCCCGTGGCTCCTGCCTGAAATCCCAGCCTCTCAGGAGGCTGAGATCTGAGGATCTTGGTTCAAACCCAGCCTAGACAGAAACATCCCCGAGACCCTAATTAACCAGCAGAAAGCTAGAAATGGAAGTGTGACATACGTGGTAGAACCTCAGTGAAAGAGTTAAGAGAGTAGCACCCCGTCTGGGCCTCAGGGCTGGAGCAAGAATGACGTGTGGAAGAGTGGGTGTAACAGGACCCCGTGAAGGCTGAGGGTGACCTTCCCCAGGTGGGGAAGGCCTCGGGGCCTTGGCAGAGCCTGTGGAGGTTTGTCCAGGGGAGGCTGGAGTTTCGGGCTAGGCCAGCTCAGGGCTCAGCATGCAGGACTCATGCACGTAGGACAGGTGTGTTCTGGCTGCAACTGGTTTGAGGTTGTGCTGGTGTCGGGGGAGCCGGGGCTCGGGTGTGGCCTGGGGTGGGGGCTGGCTCAGCAAGATGGGTGGCGTAGAACAGCAGTGAGTACCGCGTGCCTGGTGCAGTCTGACTCGAATGGGGATTTGTGCTGTGGTTGGTGGAGTTTCTGCCTGCCCGGGTGTTGCAGGGGAAGGTGCAGGCCTCGGAGGCCCCCACAGACCCCGGTCTCACATGGGCCCCCAAGGCCCCCACAGACCCCGGTCCCACGTGAGCCCCCAAGGCCCCCACAGACCCCGGTCCCACGCGAGCCCCTAAGACCCCCACAGACCCCGGTCCCACGCGAGCCCCCAAGGCCCCCACAGACCCCGGTCCCACGCGAGCCCCCAAGGCCCCCACTGACCCCGGTCCCACGCGAGCTCCCAAGGCCCCCACAGACCCCGATCCCACATGAGCCCACAAGGCCCCCACAGACCCCGGTCCCACATGGGCCCCCAAGGCTCCACAGACCCCGGTCCCACGCGAGCCCCCAAGGCCCCCACAGACCCTGGTCCCACGCGAGCCCCCAAGGCCCCCACAGACCCCAGCCCCACGCGAGCCCACAAGGCCCCCACAGACCCCAGTCCCACGCAAGCCCCCAAGACCCCCACAGACCTCGGCCCCACGCGAGCCCACAAGGCCCCTACAGACCCCGGTCCCACGCAAGTCCCCAAGGCCCCCACAGACCCTGATTCCTGAGGCTGTTAGGAGGCTGCCAGTTCCCTGCCTCTCCGGATTCCCCACAGGTTCCCACAGGAGACCAGTGCAGGGTTTTTGCACGTGAGAGCGGGAATAGCTAGACTTGGGCTCCTCTGTCAGTTGTCCGAAGGCTGGAAGTCTGGTTGAGGGTGCCGGACACTCTGTGTCTGATGCACCTGACCAGGTCCATTTCTGCCTAGCTAGTGGTTACCGAATGTTTCCTGGGCCTCAGGCCCTGCTATGTGTAGTTACTACCTCGTTTCATCTTCCCCATGATAGATGAGGCTGCAGGGATTGCCAGTTCCATTTTACAGAGTAGAACATAAGGCTCAGAGACATGAAGACATTTGCCCAGGGGCACACAGCAAGTATGTGGTACAGCCAGGATTCAAACCCCTTCAGTCTCTGGAATTAAGTTCTTTATTAGACCATAATTTTTTTTTTTTTTTGCTAGTACTGGAATTTGAACTCAGGGCCCCTCCCCCTCCCCCTTTTTTTGTCAGTCATGGGCCTTGAACTCAGGGCCTGAGCACTGTTCCTGAGCTCTTTTGCTCAAGGCTAGCACTGTACCACTTTAAGCTACAGCACCACCTTCAGTTTTCTGGGGGTTAATTGGAGATAAGAGTCTCACAGACTCCTGCTGGGGCTGGCTTTGAACCCTGACCTGAGATCTCAGCCTCCTGAGTAGCTAGAATTACAGGTGTGAGCCACCAGCGCCCGGCTCCACTTTTGTTGTTGTTGTTGTAGTTTTGCTTCAGTCATTTTTCAGCCAGGTTCTCCCCACAACCCCTCCTACCTCCGTCACCCTCGAAGCAGGGGTCCCAGGCATGTGCTACTATGCCCAGCTTAGTGATTGAGATGGAGTCTTGGTGACTTTCTCTCCCCTGGGCTGACCTCAAACTGTGATTGCCCCTCTGTTTACCTCCTAAGTAGCTGGGATGATAGGCATGAACCACTGCACCGCCTCTCCCCATTTTGGTTGGAGTGGGGTTTGAACTCGCTTGGTTCGCAGGAGCTCGACCTCCACAGTCCCCGTGAGCCCTTCCCAGCAGGATTATGGGCCCAGCCCTCACCTCACAGAAAGGCACAACACCTGCGGACCACCAGGCAGCACCAGCCCCACCCCCAACCTCACGCAGAGAGGGGAGTTGGAGCCCCTCCAGGAGCAAGGGCGCCTGGCTGAGTGTATCCCGTGGTTTGTCCGTGTGAGGCTTCTGGGATGATGGCAGAGCTCCTCCCGTCCCTCCTCCTCCCCCGGCTGGGTGCTGCTGGTTCCCTGGCTGGCCAGGTGCCGCCCAGCTCGGCTCTTTTCATTGGCCGAGTGGGCACCTGAAGCATTATGGGAAGGAACGTTTGCGCAGGAGCCTGAAGCGTGCTGGGAACGTGATGGGACTCATGTTCTCTTCGCTGCTCTCTGCCCCTCTTTCTGGCCGTGGTGACCCTCCAGGCTGTTCCCCCACCCATGCCTCTAATTCTATCGCTGAGCATTTGCTCCCTGTGTCCCAGGGGTGGAGGCGCTGGTCCTGGGCCACAGGGTTGCCTGAGAACTCAGAAACCACCAGCGCCAGCCGGGAAGACTCCGGAGAAAGTCCTCACCGCCTGGACCCTGTCTGAGGCCCCAGTACAGCCTGGGTGTCCACCCCCAGGTGCTGCCAGACAGGATGGCAGTAGACAACCGCCCCACTGTGGGCCGAGTTGGGGTATGCGCTCTCTTCCTCAACAGTACTGGGATTTGAACTCAGGACCCTGCGCCTGAATTGCAGTCCCAAGGAAGAGGCCAGGAGCCGAACCAGCAAATGGCCTGGCTGCTCAGGGAGGCCAGGCTTCCCGGTGGGCATGGAGGCCCCCTGGAGGCAGGTGGGGACAGTAATGGGCAGAAGAATGAGCGTCCACCACCCAGGATCCTGGCAGCAGGGGCTGCACCCAGTCCTGAGGCCCAGATACCACTCACTGCTCCCCCACGGCAGGGGGCCCAGACCCCGCTGCTGGCCCCAGGGTGGGGGGCAGCCGAGGGACAGCCAAGGGATGGCGGGGATGACCCCCCACTAGGAACCACAGCCGGTGCACCCTTGTCCCCTGCCAGGCGCCCTGTCTTCAGCCCTGGCTCCCCCTGGGAGGGCGCAGCAGAGACCACAGGGTCCTAGCGCCTTCCTCTGGTCTCGGCTCTGTGGCAGGAGACACGGCCGCTGGCCTACCTGTGGGGCTCTCTCCCTGGGCGCCCCATTACCTCCTTTCCTCCCTCTTCTGCCTCTTCCTGAGACCCCCCCCCCAGATCAAAACTGAACCCTCCCTCCCACCCACACCGGTGGAAAGCCTCTGTGTAGGTGAGGCCTCCTCCTCCAGGCTGTCTCCAGGATTTCAAGCTTGCTCTGTCCACCCCACCCTCACGGCCTCTGAGCCTTCCACCCACTGTGACGTCTCGGGCCCGCCTCTCCGGGCCTCTTCCCCCAGCCCCTGCCAGTCTGACCCAGGTTGCTGT